TCTCTGATTCTGGACGAGAGATTCCACTGGGAGGACAGCCAGACCATTCTCGATCTTTACGGACACCTGCTGAACGAAATGCTCTTCATCAACGGGAACGATAAATCGGAGGACAGTCTTGTGTCCGATGTGACAGCCGCTCACGCGTCGTCGATCTCGTCCAGGAGCTCGATGACCACGGCAAAGCCGTCGTCAGGCGACGGATCAGCCAGTGGTTCGAAAGATTCCGCGTTTATTGGCGCCGTCGAGTAAACGCAGAAACGTCGTTTGTCACCGCGACGTCTGGACAAACAATCTGATGTCCCGGCACGACCTCGCCGGCATACCGCTCGGCTGTTATGCCTATATCATACTTGCCATTGGCGCCTGCGTCTGCACTCGCGTTTGTCTTTACAATTGCCTTTTATTCAATCCAGCAGCCAGCAACTCTTTTCTGATTGGTCAAGAAACTATTATTGGTAGAGACGCAAACGCGAACGCAGGTGCATTCGTTAGTATGATACGGGCATTACGTAACAGATTTCTATATAGACTTATATAAATAGATTGGGCGCTCCCATAAGTGGCTATGCGATACAAGATAAGAGTGAGATGTCGGTACAGCACAGACCTACTGTATTTGTTTAAATGGACTCCTACTGGAGGAAGTTCACGAGCAACAAATAAGAATACTTGAGATGACGTGTTATCGTGTATGTGAATCCTAATGTAGGTATCTAATCTGTATACAGTAGTGTCTGATATTAATTATTAATATTATTACATTAAATATTAATAAAAGTATTAAAAGATATTAAATATTAACAAAAAATATATAGAGGAAGATATTAAATATAAATAAAAGTAATGATTTGGGATTGCAGAATTTGTAAATTGCAATATGGACAAAAAGATGTTTTTTTTTCATAGGTGTGTATTCTAATTTGATATAATATATTTTCAATAATATGTTTAAAAGAATGATTCTTAATTTATTTATTGAAGAATAACAGATTTTTTTGAAAAAAATAATTAATTATTCATATATTTCCTTTGATACACAACACAAGTAAAATATAAGAAATATAATTTTCTCGTATACTTCTAAAAAGAAAATGTAAGATTCAAACAGTTAGCAACAATATGATTCTATTCCTATCTTTTCCTACTTCTTCTACTTCTCTTAATTCTTCTCTCTTCTTTAGTGCAACGAAGATAGCAACCTCTAAGATAGTGAGTATTATAGCTACTTTTTCATATTGTCTCTTGAGTTTCTATAAGAGGGTTTAAGTCTATTTATATAAGTCTATGGATTTCTAGTACTTCTGCCATTGCTCCACGGCGATCGACTTTGCGTGCTGTCTGTATATAATCACTGCAAATCCAAGTGCGTTATTTTTAAATGTATAAATGTGTAATTTGGTTGAAGCTCTTTTTACATGTTTCTTACTTTCTAACTTACGTCATTTGACACGTTTAAGACGTGTAAATTATAATTTAAAATTTTTAGACATATTAAGTAGCACGACTTAAAACGATAGGAAACGTATAAGAAGAGATACAGTCGTATAATCGCGCAATTACATTGCATCTAAGTACGTTATTTTTAAACGTTTAATGTAGAAGTTTCTTTTAAATCACGTTATTTGATATGTTTAAGATGTAAATTATAACTTAATACATTTAAACGTATTAAATGACATGACTTTAAACAGTAAGAAACGTATAACAAATTCTGCTAAAATAACACAATTGAATTTGCAGTGTAATAGTGATTTATATCTCTCTCTGTTTTCAATTCTGTGATTTTTACTTTATATATCGTGTTTCTCATTCCAATAAAAATAATTATTTTGAATGTAAATAATTATGTCGAATGTAAATGAAATACATTTGCAGATTAATATTTGCATTCTTTCTTTGTGCAACTTACTTTCATAGAGATCCTTTATGATTTATAGTTTCCTAACCATACAAATGTCAATTAACGTGTGAAACTGTTGAAACGTGTAAAGGATAAATACGTTTTTATAATATGTCGTGAATGTTTAATAACGAAGTGCGTTATCTTATTATTTTGTTACATATCCTAGACGTGTTCTCATTAATGCGCATAAAATCCGTATAAAATGAACATACCACACACTTATATGTGTTAAGGTAATACAGATAAAATGAGTGAAATTAATACATTGAGATTTACAGTATAGGGATCATCATTTCAATTCCTTCGCCGGATTTACCGGAGAAGAGTCTCCACGTGGAGGAACGTCTGTCTTGGTCGAAGTTCCGGAAAAAGTTACGTGGAGAAGCGCGGAACATAGCGCTTGTTTACGCCTGCATCAGCCTGCCGATAATGTTATTGTCCAGCCAAGCTACCGTGGATTATTTCTACAAGGAACAAACTTGAGGGAGTGATATTCAGCGGCAAATTTCATGTGCCATCAATGTCGAAACGTGCCTGCCTAGAGATCACACTTGAGATCAAGAATTGTCTGTCTGAACATCCGTCGAATTTTTAGCTAGTTCAGACCCCCTAAGATAGAGACGCGCACGCCCGCACTCGCTTTACGATCTGTGATAGAGGACTGGAATCGCGCCAGGTACATCGATTCCATCGCCCTGATTTTATTTACAACTTTCGATTGCTCGCGGCCGCGTCGACTTTCGAGAACCGCGTCCCGATGTCGGATAAAAAGAGGAGAGAAACATTCCGGGATATTACTTGTCGCCGTATCACTTATCGTACATCGTGTGCGATGGATGGAAGAAAACAGTATAGAAGAGACGCATCTCATTTTGTAATTATAAAGTTAAAAAGAGCGCGTAGTTCTTGCGCTCCGTGAAAAAAGAAAATTGTCATACAAAATAATTCGTACAAAACATCGTATTACAAAATAATTCGTACAACAACTGTACTTTTCTACTACAAAATTAATAATATCAGCAAATTTGCGCCAAGTGAATATGATTAATTATAACATATCATTATATCATTTTTCTAATCACTTTATTTGTTATTAAAATTATATATCTATTTTTTATATGTTACATCATTATATGTTACATCATGTGTTAGGTATATGTATCATAGGGATATCCTACAGATATTGAGATATCTTTATAATCCTTGTGATATATTCGGGACATTTCTGGCTGTGTGGGCTTGATCCATTAGTAGATGTAACTTGTCACTATTACTCATTAACAGCGTTATTTCTTACATTTGTATCGTATTCAAAATGTCAAACTTGTATTATGAAATGACCAAGTATACGAATTATAAAAAAAATAAAATTATTCAGATTCACAAAAAAAAAAAACTCGGCGCGGCCGGCTGATATCAAGATATATCAGAGAATTCTAAAACATATTTGATTTCACAGCAAGATTATGGAATACTTGTAAGTAATATTGAAATTGTTATTGCAACCCGGACGCGTCAAGTTTTTTTGTGAATCTGAATGATTTTATTTTTTTTATAATTCGTATACTTGGTCATTTTATAATACAAGTTTCAGATTTGGAATACGATACAAATGTAGAAAGAAATGCTGTTAATGTGTAATAGTGATAAGTTACATTTACTAATGGATCAGGCCCACACAGCAGAAATGTCACTGATACATCACAAGGTTATTATAAAGATATCTCAATATCTATAGGATATCCCTATGATATATTCGGGACATTTCTGTTGTGTGGGGGAATAATGATAACAAACTCGTTTAAATATATACCTAACACAGAATGATGTAACATATAAAAAATAGGTACATAACAAATAAAGTAATTAGAAAAATAATATAATGATATAATTAATCATATATTCACTTAGCGCAAATTTCCTAATATCATTAATTTTGTGGTAGAAAAGTACAGTTTGTTGTACGAATTATTTTGTAATATAATGTTTTGTACGGATTATTTGACAATTTTCTTTTGACGGAACGGAACGCAAGAACTAGGCGCTTTTGTTTTTACTTTTCTTGAAAAGGTAAACTTCTTGGGATATTACCTACTTTTGAACAAGAGCTACATTAGACATAATCTTGCAGTAGATTAATAAAATAATTTTCTCTTTTTATTCTAATACGGTTATTTATTTTTAATCTGTATTTATATCTGTATTTATATTTGAAATATATATTTTTTTCTATTCTTATTTAGAATGTGTTCAATTCAATGCAAATTGAAATAAAATGTATATGTCAGTTATTGCAAAAAAGTATAAATATAAAAAAAGAACAATTTATTAATTACTATAGAAGAGGTCTCACCACCATATTTATTGATATAACCACCATTGTTTATTGATATAACGGTCCTCTTTACTAATATAATTGCATACAAGGAAATTATATAAATATTCTTAGCATTTTATAAAATTTTCATTATAGTTTGTAGCATAAATTAATTTTGAATGCTAGACAACACGTACACACACTCTCTCTTTTACACTTGCGCTCGTGACGTTATCGAGATCTTCTGTGCTGCCATCTAGCGGAAGATTGTTGAAGGAGAGCCATTTCGTCATCCAGCGAGTGGATTTGCGTAAATATATCACGGCCACTCAGTATTGCAGTGGCGGATACGCTCAAACTAAGCGCTCAAATTACGGCTGTGATTTTTTATTTAATATCGATTATTTTATTATTCACGTATCATATGTGTCGTACGGACACATTATATGTACACGTACATTTTATATGTATATTTGCGACGTGAATGTCGAACACATATATATGTTGTATGTGTTAGCAGTGGCGTAGCCAGGAAGGGGGGTTGAGGGGGCTGTAGCCCCTCTCCGAAATTAATTTTCTGGGTTACGCTAAGTGTGAGAAAAATTTTTTTGAATTACCTTTTTTTTTGTTTGTTAAAAATAAAAAATACAGTCTCCCCGAAACTTTTTTTGGGCTACGCCACTGTATGCTAGTGGCTGTTCGAAACTCCTTATCTTGCTAGTTACTATATATATTGTCAATAAATCACAGAATATAATATTCGAAAACATACTCGAACTTATTATTAGTGTCCTTCAGTCTATCATCAACAGAACATCTAAATTTAATTCGTGTACAGAATTGCTGTGTACAGCAATTAACTATTATAACTATTATCTTCGCTCAAATATTCAGCATTATTTCTAAATTAATATAACGATCAAAGTATTTGATAACTGTCAATATTATATAAGTATATTGTGATGAGTATAACTCGATACATGTATAATTATTTATCCGATTATTATTTATCTGATAAATCATACACAGAAAATAATTGTAATCAGTTTTTCAATCCGAATATCTGTCATGTCTGTCATGTCAGAGGCCAAATCAAGGCAGATTAATGCCATGTGATTAGTGCGGCATGGTCTTTTATTGTTGCAAGGAGCATCAAATGATGCATAAAAGTTCGCATATGGAAGTCTGTATATATATGGCAATCGCAAGAATAGAAGGCTGGAAATCGAACGCACGTCGTTTTAACTCAGATGAAGATTGGAGGTCATCATAAAAGACATTTATGCAAGGAATTCAGATGAAACACGTGATCTAAAGCTGTACGAGATAGAGATAATATTATGCGCAAGATCATGTTTTATGTGTCACCAACAGATTAATCTGCGAACTTGCAACACTCTGCTATTCTGCCAATTATTGTGACGAGCACTATTTGAATTTTCAAGAAAAACACATGTCTATGTGCAACGACTTAATTGTATTGCTGAACTTAAATATCTCAATTATCAACAACACTTACTTTAACACATATCCACAAATAAAGTTCTACAAAATGCAAGAAAAGTTTGATGACATGTTTACATTTGTTAATCAATACTTTAATAATTATAAAACGCCAAATGTGATAACTTGGGACGAGTGTACTTACATATATTCGGATTATATGTCAGCTTCATTGACACTGTGTTACGGGTTAAAGCAATTCGCACATTTATTTGAAGAAACACAGATTTATAGACAGGAATGTAAATTTACTAAACGCCCAGCAAATTATCAATTTATCATACATATCATAGGTGCGAGTTTAGTAGATATAACGGGCTTACCATCATGGGAACTTTTCTTACATGTTTGCAATAAATATAAATATTTGAAAAAGAAAATTAAGGAATTAAGAGTTATATTGATAAAACCAGAAGTAGATTGTGAGTGGAATAAATACTACAATGTTTGCTGCAATTGCCGCCAGTCCAAAACGCAGCTTTATCTTGAAAATGCACGTGTGTCCTATGAAGATTATGTGCGCACAAATTTGTATAAGCAAGCAGATATCATTATTGCATTTCAAGCAGAATTTAGTGTAGAAAGTGCACTGTTAGATATTTTTATCGCAACACAAGATCGTAAATGTCCGTTTTTTTTCACCACTGCATCACAAAATAAAGCAGAAGAAATCATAAATAAGATACAAAAAGTTATGTATGTTCCTCGAGAACAGTATTCCATAAAAAATAAATTCCGTAGTTACAGACCGTACAGAGACTACGAGACTGGTGGAATTTATTATCGTAATGATTATTTAGTTGTGTTCTTATAAATTTAAATAATACAAGCGAGACAGTAAGAAATGTAGTTAATATATAACAGCGTTCGGAATTATTTTCAGTTTTGGAACAGTTTCGAGGATACATTTACTTATTATACTTATTATACTTTCTTTTTCTACTGCAACTCGCAGGGCCGCGGGATTAATAATTGTATCACTCAGCCTTAGGGCCGTTTATATGGAGTTTAAGTTATACAGATAAAATTTTGTTCGGCTATTGATAAGCGTCTCACAGATATTACAATGTCAACGGTCCTAAGACTTGCTCTTCAGACGAGCTAGAACGGCAGAAAATACCCAAGCCGAACTGAAAATCAATATCCGATTATTTTCTCGTTATTTTAATTTTTATCGTTATTTTATATTTGACTTGGATATGATTGTATTTGTAATTTAGTTATAACTGTATCTGCAATTATTGTTTATTACATTATTGTTTGTTGTCAATTTAATGATATATACGCGAATAAATAATCATTTTGTTGATAAAATATACATTCAATGTCAATTATACTTTCTTTCCCTCTAACAATGTGTAACATATGGTATAGATTTTTAATGTGGGTTTAATGATTACTACGCATTTAATATGAAATAATTTTGTAATATCTTGCAAATATCTAGCCTGGGGCTAGATATCCTATATTTCAGGACTTCGAAGTTACAATTTCTCAGACAATTAATTATGTAAGTGACTGTGCAAACATGGTAGAGGTCTTCTTCTATATGTGTTAATATGTACGCGCCGTACTAATTCGACTTAGGACTTCCAGTTTGCGAGATTTTTTCCGCGATAGAAGACCTTCTGCGCATGCGTGGACGATACAATATTCAATAGCAAACTGCTATGTCACTTCACGAAAATATTTTGGTAAATGTTCACTTTAGGGGAGTCACCTTTAGTCATCTTGACCTTGACATATATTATAGAGGTCATCCTCCTGAGTAACCTTCAGAAGGTTTTAGCCGTCGTTTGTTGTTTGTTAAAAAGTTATCAACAAAAAATGTTTTAGAAATTAATCGTAATTTTTGCACACAGTGTACATAAAGATAAGGTAAACAGTGCACAGGATAAATAAATTATATTGAAAAAATTATTTATTCAATATTTATAATAAATTTATTCAGTAAAATTTCCGCTAAGTGGATAGAAATGAGTCATAATTTCAAAAAATTTATCGATTCGATTCGATCAACATACAATGGTAGTGTGTGTCAGGACATGATCATAACATGATTATCAACATTGAAATCGTACATACGATCAAAACAAAACCCGCGCAATTTACCCTATGTGCAAAAATTACGTTCAACTTTTTTTTAGTAAGTACTGCAATCTCGAACGACTAGCGGGGGGCTGCGCCCCCCGCACCCCCCCTAAAAACTAACCTATCGTCACATTAAGCGTCAGTCATTGTTTATTAAAGTGTTCAACTTTTGTGTTAATGTGACGATAGGTTGGGTTAGGTTAATTTTGAGGGGGGGTGCGGGGGGCGCAGCCCCCGCTAATTGTTCGATATTGCAGTTATTATTTGATATTGCTCGTTAACAGTACACATTATCGAAAAATTGTAATATATTTTTCGAACTTCTTTCATCAATAATTTTTTAACAAACAATGAGCGACGGCTAAAACCTTCTGAAGATTATTCAGGAGGATGACCTCTATAATATATGTCAAGGTCAAGGGTGACTCCCCTAAAGTAAACATTTACCAATATTTTTATAACAAATATTGTGTGTGCGTATCTAATAGAAAAATTAAAAAATAAAATATTGTGGGAAATTCTTTGAGGATGGTTAAATGGTATTTAATTAAATAAAATCGTTGTTCCCACGTAAATTAATTTATTGAATACGAGTGATGTTTGCCAGGATTCGACTTCGCTTTGTTCGAACACTTTGTACCTCTCGACGCTTTCACTCACTCTTTTTTCTATACGTAACGACGCAACAACAGTCTTCTCGCTCGCTTCGCGACTCGGTTCTATTCTACGACTCTGTGCCTTCGCGTCTCCGTGTCAACAACTGTATTCGCTTTTTCAATATTTTTATATTGCAGTTATTGCTTTGTCTCGGATCATGTGATATCCGTATGCTATCAACATGATCACAATGATAAATATAGGAGATTAATATAAAAACAAAATAATATAAATAAAGTTATACATGCCGTTATATTATACATAATATTTTCGCTAGCTCGCTAGTTTTAAAAATTACCACAATATTTTTAAGTCGTTTTGAGTATTTTATTGAATACTGAAATAATTTCGAATGTCAGTATAAGTTTTGTTTAATTTTAGCGTAAAATGAAGACCAGAAAGAATATTGAGAAACTTTGAGTTTTTTATTTAGAATTATATGTTTGAAACATTTAGACTTCTAACGCCCGCATTTTCTGGGATCTAAATGGGATCCGTTCCGATTTCTTAGAAAAATTATAGGTTCTGATTGAAGTATCTACGAAGATTCGAATTAAAAATGTAATGTTTGTGAAAAATACGTTTCTAATTGGGACATCCGAACAGATCTCATTTCCTTTATTAAATTACTCTATATATATTTTCTCTACTAAATTACTCTGCTATTTTCTCTATTATTTCTCTAAAGTTTTCTCTTCTTCGATTTCTATTTTATATTTACGTTAAATAAAATATCTGAAATACTTAGAATATTTACATATATTTTGTACAAGTACTTAAAAACTATAAATACTCTAACCGTTTCAAGTATTTTATACTTTAACTTTTTTTTAAAATAAATTTTAAATAAAAATAATAATATAATAAATAATAAATAATAATATAATAAATAATATAATAAATAATAAATAATAATAATAATAATAATAATAAATTTTAAATAAAAATGTCTTAAATAAAACAATATATATATTTTTTTAAATTCAAATATACAAAATATATAAAACTTTAATATTACATTAAACATCCACGTGTAATTATTTACAATTAAAAGTTGGTAAATAATAAAAATGGTCATACAACAGTCTGCATTTTAACTCGAGGACACCGTATTTGAGTATACCCATTTTATTGTAACGCTCGCCGTTTCTATAATATATAACGAAATATAGGGAATCAGGATTTTGAATAGTAAACTTTTGCCTCCCCTTTACTGCGCAATCTTATTTGCTATTTAGCAGGAAACATCGTTGAAATCAATCTTGATGTTAAAATTCTTTATAGTAAAATAATATATATTTTTTAAAATCATTTATCTCTCTTTCTCTCTTTCTCTCTCTCTCTCTCTCTCTCTCTCTCTCTCTATATATATATATATATATATATATATATATATATATATATATATATATATATATATATTTTTTTTTTTTTTCTGAAAAGTTACATTCCACACCTTTAACAAATAGCAATTAGTTTTATATATTACGTACAAGAAAACTGTAAAATGCAAATTTAAATATAAATGTATATGTTTGCTTCAAAAATTTTCAAGCAAATAACCCTTTTTGATTAAAATTTTTATTCGATTTTTTTAGACAATTAACTTTTTTTTTTTTATAAAAAATCGTAATTTATGATATAAATTAATACTTTGACGTTGAAATAAAAAAAAAAAATGTTAAAGATATTCACTTTTCGAGGAAATAGTGATAATAGTTGAAAGCTGTGGGTGCATTATACCCAGGGTGATAAAATCAAAAGAAGTATGATGTTTTAGGATTAAAATAAACAGAAAAAGGACTTATATCCCTACTCATATATAGAGGAAATCGGGTCCAATTGTCACACTTTTTACATATTGATAAAAATAAAACGGTGTATACAATTTTTCAGAATGTTGAGTATATTGTAATATAGCTACATACTTCAGGTACAAGAAAAAAAATATAAACCATTTATATTAATGCATAAAGAAAGTATGCAGTCGTAAGCAAGATCGGAAAAATGTGACATCCCACCCCATATCCTGGGTCAATTGTCACATGTCTTCTATATGGTGAAAACACGATAAATAATTCTTGTTGTAACAGTGTTTGTAATGTTATAGTAAAATTAATTATATATAACCATGTATCGATATATAATCATGTATATTTATTGATTGAAAATTATATTTATATATATACACATACATATACAGCTATATCAACAGAAACCATACAAATTCAGATCTACTGAAAACCAACGTAGATATAACCTCTTATTCTAACCGAATTAACTATAACAACATACGGCGATCGGATGTACGTGCTTCCATGCGCATTCGTAAGGTCTGGCAACGTGTGATAATCAAACCCACTGCGTGTGAGTCAATTCACCCCAAACGTTCATATAGACTGAACAAGATTATATTTATACACAATGTTGCCATAATTATTAACTGCATGTTAGCAAAAAGTATAATATTTCTTACGATTACAGAAAAATTACGACTAGTAATCCCAAAACAAACAAAACATTAAAAATAGGAATCAGAAAGAATTTATTCGCACATTCGATTTTTTAAAAAATACTTATAAATACCACATGCGATGCTTTGGCCATAAACCATTTCGTACAACTAATTACAATGTTACAGGCAACCTACACTATAGAAGTGAAAATTCTCCTCTATTTAAGTGAGATATAAGCTTTGTGACAACTGACTCGTGTGACTTTCAGTCCCGGTCTCCCCTATGTTCATTTTGTTATATAAAATGTTTAGAATTTTGAATATAAAATTATTAATTATTGTTACTTACAAAGTTACGAATTTTTTACTCTATATAATGTTCTAACACAATATCTTCATAATGTTGAGCTTTATTATTATGATTGAGATCACAATTCGTACGATATATAGAATTCTTTGTCTTGCGAAGATAAATTGATGACGAACCTGTCTCATAATACATACAACAGTTAAACTGTCAAAACACGTAAACTCCGCGAATCGTTTAGTTGGGAACTGTCAAAGTCCTTAATGTATCATCTAAGCGATGAAGCAAGTTCCGACGTGGCAACGAGACAACTAATCAGCATCGTTAACACAGGAAGGAATAAACTAAAAAAAATTTAGGAGAACGTTGAATAGAATAAATGGAATCTATTTGGATTTGCATTTAATTGAATTGCAACTTTATTTATTTGGGAAATCGAAATAGATTCCAATTAGATCCTAGAGCTTTTTCTATATTTGGAATAAGAATAGGATTTTGATATCGCAATACGATACAATTATTTAGAATAAATTGGAGTAATCTAATCTATATTTTGTTTTTCTCTCTCTCTCTCTTTATATATATATGGCTTAGACCTTGAAGCCTGTAAACTAATTGATACTTATGTTATACTTCTTTTTTGGAATATTTAGAAAATTTTTATATTGGTGTCTCTAATAAAAATTCATAATTATTTTTGAAAATTAAACTGGATTCCAATTAGATATCTCAAAAAATTTTCTATACGAGACACTAAAGAA